TGAGCAGCAAGCTGAAGTCGTAGTAGCAGATAACAGTTACCTTGTATTGTATGCTTCTAAACTTTACTACTTTTTTTCCTTTGTTAGGATGTTTATTTAACAATAGAATACAATTTATGGTTTAAGCAGGTGAGCAGACTAATTGTAGATTTCTCATTCTGCAATTGGATTTAAATTGTTCGTTGTTAGATAAACTTTATACGTGTTGGTTTAAGTATAGTGTTGAAAGCTTTTGAGACTTGAATTTTGGCTCTCAATCATACGGAGATTTCTTCCGTTATACCGAGTAAGTGATGTTAGTGTGTGGAGGGGACAAACTTACCATTACTTTGGCTTAAAATCTCTGTTGACTGTTGATGAAGTGACAGAGGCACTTTCATGTAAAAATTTGCACGATGTTTCGCTCAGTGATTGCATTTTACGTGACAGTGTATGTCATACATTATGGATCCCCATATAACGACATGACTTGCACAAGACTGTCTTTCTTGTGCAAGTCGTGTCGTTATATGTGGTCATGAATTTTATTAATAATAAGCATAGTAGACAAGGATGTACGTACAGTTCATCATTCTTACCCGAATGACTTCTCATCCGTGACGACGCTCATGTGATAACATTTTGTCACTGCAAAACTTGCATCAACTCTTATCATAGCCACTGTTTTAAAAATCTCCGCCTAGGTGCTAGGCGCTAGGTCACCACCCCGATTAGTCTCTAGGCGTTGTTTTTAATATTTTCTAATACTTTATAATTTATATGTCATTACATGTTGCAATTTATGCATTCCAATACAATTATGTATGTTTTTTAAGTATAAATAAGCACTTATTTATACAATATATAATACATTTACTTAAATCCATCTGGGCGGGGACTAGGTCCTAGCGTGCCGTCCGACTATTGCTTAGCGCTTTTTAAAACCTTTATCATAGCATGATTCATCTTTTATATGACCAGGAAAGGTAATACTTTTGTGGAAACGTTGCATGTCTTATTTTATCAAATTACAAGTTTTCTCAGAAACAAAATGTGCCAACCTAAAATAGTTGACATATTGTGAATCAAACTAAGCTGCCTGTTTTTTTCTCTCCTCGCGAGAGCCTTTCTCTCCGTTTTGTGAGTGTCTCACTATGTGTGAGCTTTCAAATTTCGTCAAGTAATTTAGCCAGGCCCTCGCCTTGGCAAGGGTTGGTGGCAGCCCCTTTTCTTTCTTGCTTTCCTTTTCTTCCATCTTTATCCGCCTAATATCGGCCACGTTCTCCGGCCCAATTTTCTTCATTCCCCCAAACCTCCTTGCCTTTGATTTAACTGCCCCTAGGCCAAGATCGGAAAGCCCCATTTCTCATCCCTCCATCCCCCAACTGTCCGATGTGCAACCACCTCTTTCCGTCGCTTTTTGCGACTTTATTGGGCTCCAAACCTTGTGTTGGATTGGGTTTTTTTTTCTGCTAAGGAGGTCCATTATTATGCTTTGTGCTTTACTTGTGTATGGACCTCCAGTTGTATAATTTAGTTTGTGTTGGTAATAAAAATTATCTTTGACCGAGAAAAAATAATTTGACTTTGGTTTTGGATGATCGTAGTCCATTTTTGGAAAATTTTCAGATTCTCTACTTAAATTTTGCTATTTTTAAAGTTTGTTGACGAAAATTTGTGTCGCGCTTGAAGGTTAGAAGATGGAATGAAACCGAAAATAGTAGGACTAGAAAGGATAAATCTTTTGCCTCCACTTTCAATGTCTTGAAATAGTAAATTGCCCATTATAATTCAATCCTCCAGACAAAATGAGGCTTACGTCGATGTCTCTCGTGGTTAGAGAGCAAAAGAGGGATGCTCGTCATATGGCTAACCCTTGGTCAAAGGCTTTCTATGGGGGATTTAAGCAGGGCCGGCCCAAGTCTAGTGTGGGCAGGACGACCGTCCGAGGTTCAAAATAATTGGGGACACCAAAATTATTAGGGCGCTATATTTATATATGTTTTCATAAGAGTATAAATTTATAAAATTTGGTTCAATGGCAAAGAAGTTTAACTAGGACTGGTGGTTTTGTCATTTGAAATTAACGAGGAGGTCTTGGGTTCAAAACACGGTGTGTTTATTTGTTTTTCAATTTTTACAAATTTCGTTTCATAAGAGTATAAATATATAAAATTTGGTTAAATGATCAAGAAATTTAATTAGAATCAATGGTTTTTGTTGTTTAAAATTAATGAGATATCCTAAGTACGAAATGCTAACTGTATGTTTATTCTTTTCAATGTTTACGAATTTTTGTTTGGTTGTTAATTTATTTTTAATTAATAGCTAGTAGCTATGTGGGTTGTTATTTTTAAACATTTGTTCCTAATCTTCTACAAAGAGTAATGCGTAGACCAAATTTTACAAATCCATATAACGTGTCATCAAAAAGTTTAATTTAGTACCAATTTATTACTTCTACATATCAATTAAAGACTCAAAAATATCATTATTTTTTTAGTCCCACATTGACAAGGTTAGTTGTAAAATCCCATATCACCCAGGGGAGTGATCCTTATATGTATATTCCCATTCTTACCTAGTGCGAGGCCTTTTGGGAGCTCACTGGCTTCGGGTTCCATCGGAACTCCGAAGTTAAGCAAGAAGGGGGCTTGAGCAATCCCATGATAGGTGACCCACTGGGAAGTTGCTCGTCAGTTCCCAAAAACAAAACCGTGAGGGAATGGTAAGCCCAAAGTGGACAATATCGTGCTACGGTGGTGGAGCGGGCCCGGGAAGTGATCCACCCCGGGCGGGGATGTGACAATTTGGTATCAGAGCCTAACCCTGGTCGCGAGTTTGCCGACGAGGACGTCGGTCCCCTAAGGGGGGTGGATTGTAAGATCCCACATCGCCCAGGGGAGTGATCCTTAAATGTATATTCCCATCCCTACCTAGCACGAGGCCTTTTGGGAGCTCACTGGCTTCGGGTTCCGTAGGAACTCCGAAATTAAGCGAAAAGGGGGCTAGAGCAATCCCATGATGGGTGACCCATTGGGACGTTGCTCGTGAGTTCCCAAACACAAAACCGTGAGGGAATGGTAAGCCCAAAGCGGACAATATCGTGCTACGGTGGTGGAGCGGGCCCACATTGTCCAGGGGAGTGATCCTTATATGTATATTCCCATCCTTAGCTAGCACGAGGCCTTTTGGGAGCTCACTGGCTTCGGGTTCCATGAGAACTCCGAAGTTAAGTGAGAATGGGGCTTGAGCAATCCCATGATGGGTGACCCACTGGGAAGTTGCTCGTGAGTTCCCAAAAACAAAACCGTGAAGGAATGGTAAGCCCAAAGCGGACAATATCGTGCTACGGTGGTGGAGCGGGCTCGGGAAGTGATCCGCCTCGGGCCGGGATGTGACAATTTGGTATCAGAGCCAATCCCTGGCTGGAAGTGTGCCGACGAGGACGTCGGGCCCCTAAGGGGGGTGGATTGTAACATCCCACATAACCCAGGGGAGTGATCCTTATATGTATATTCCCATCCTTACCTAGCACGAGGCCTTTTGGGAGCTCACTGGCTTCGGGTTCCATGGGAACTCCGAAGTTAAGCAAGAAGGGGGCTTGAGCAATCCCATGATGGGTGACCCACTGGGAAGTTGCTCGTGAGTTCCCAAAAACAAAACCGTGAGGGAATGGTAAGCTCAAAGCGGACAATATCGTGCTAGATGGTGGAGCAGGCCCGGGAAGTGATCCACCCCGGGCCAGGATGTGATATTAGTAAATAAGAAAAAACACCTCACAATTTATACAAAAACACTTTAAAAGTTCAAATGGAAAAGAAAACTCATATCTATCTACTTGTAAACCTAGAGTTTTTTTGTTCCTTCTCACGATACAAAATAAATTAGTTTTTCCTTGTTTCTAAATTATTAAGTTTAAAGTGTTTTTCTAAGTATAATTTTATCGATATCTTACGTGTGAAAACAAATAATTTTCTTATATAAAGTGAGGGTACATTTTTTTACGTCGCACCGGGCCTCAAAAATCTCTAGACCGGCCCTGGATTGAAGTGACCTCCATCCTTGGATAGCTATTTGTTTATTATAAATAAGGTTGTAAATAGATTTCCACATATATTTAAATAATATTATCTATTGTATCTTTATTTAGATTTCAATATGTTTTTACGGTTTTAAACTTGCAGCATCGTGTGAGCAATTTTTGCTAATTAAAAACTTAAAACTAAAGATTTACCTCAAAATGAATTAAAAAATGCTAAAAGAAATCTAAAAAACTGATCAATGATGTTCATTATCTGTAATACTAAATAAAAACTCATATAGGCCCGTTCCGAGCCCGTGTTGAACCTAGAGACCCTGCACGACCTACCATGCCAAGCACAGTTGCCTAGGCTAGTCCTAGCTAACTTAAAAGCTTGTATTATACAAAATAAAATTTCAAAGTTAAATGAAAAAGTACCAACAAAGCAACATGCTAAGGAAGCATTCTTAATCAACAGGCCCCGTACCTGTTGGAGTAATCCTTGTGTTTATTTTTTATGCTTTGTAAGTGTGTTTAAGTCTTTATTTTGTAAGTTTGTTCTTTGAAAATAAAACTTCATGTTAAACTCCGATAATTTGATTTTAAATACAAAGTAAAGTACAGCATTACAAACAAACATAATTAATTAAAAATAAAAGGTGAATGTAGAAAATGGTTGAATATTTATACAATAAAAATAAATAATTTCTTCCTAATTTTTTTATTTTTTGGTTTTCCATTGTTTTCATATTTAATGGTTAGATTAATTTTGACTGTTAGATTTTTTTTATTATTGAATTTGATAGCCTTTAAAGTGCCACAAGGCACATCAAAACTTTTCCAAATTTTTTTTACCGTTGGAAATCCAACTGTGCAAATCATGAAAGCATTGAAAATCTAACAACTCTCATCTCACCACGTTAGTCAGCAATTGGCACAATATTTGGACATGCAGCTTCAGAAGATGTTATCCCACCCGCTGAATATGTGTGTAGTTTACATGCGCCTGACAAAAAAAAAAGGAAGCACATGGATGACGTCATAATATGTTGGCCCACCGATTTGAGACGGAAGCCTGGCTCAAATTGTTTAGGCTTTTGGCTGGGCATGTGGCCCACGAATTGCCCTTCACAAAATGGATCGATGGAACCGTGGAAGTAATTTTTGGGCAAAAGAGCAATTTGGCAGCCCTTTCGTCTGCCTTTTGGGTAACGACTGGACTTGCTCTAAGGATCTTTGCTCGCCCGAAACTTTTTTTTTTTTTTTCTTCTTCATGTGTGTGGGTAAATCTCAGCCTTTCACTTTTGAAGAAAAATGTGCAAGGAGAATTTCTATACAATTAAGAGCACTATCAATCAAGGATGGAAAATGTTTGAGAAGAGGCGCCATTTTATTTGGTTGAAAAACTCTTCCGTGTACGTGATTTAAAATATTCATCTTAGCTAAGAAAATGGAAATTTAAATTCTTGACTGTATATTTTGGAGATGAATCACATTAGATAAAGGGAAAAGTAAATGAGATACTAAATTTATATTTCTCTCATTGAAATAAAGCTCATATTCATGAAGCTGCTGACAATACTTACATATATTTAATGCAATTAATATTTCATGAAAATGTAAAATTAGATGCAAATAAAGGATTTGACTACAATAGTTACATGTATTTAATACAATTGCTATTTGACGGTCAGATATATTCATATAAACATATGTATTTAATACAAGTACAATCTGACCGTTAGGATGGTTAACGGAGGAAAGTCATGACTGATCAAATGTTAAAAATGCCCTAGAAAGCTAGGGTGTGACAAAAACCCAATTACTTTCTAAATGAATGCATTTTTTTCTAACAACCAAGTATATCCAACATTTTATTCAAACAACTAAGAACGATGTATAATTGACAAAGTTAAGGGGAAACAATACAAAGATAATAATTCAAGAAATCTTGTGCGTCTGTAAATTTTGACAAAAAGTAAAAACCCAGTGCCTGCACCAGAAAAACATGGGCAGCTGACCTCCCTTTTCTCTGGGCATGTATTTCATGCCTATCGCCTAACCTATCCCTCATTTGCTTATCCTTGTCCACCTACACACCATCAACACTCGTTTTCTCAACTCAACTTATAGATTTTTACAGAGGCAACAATTCAGTTCAATTCAAGAATTTAAGCAGCGCAGAAGATGAGCGGGACGTTGAGCACAAGGAACAAAGCAAAGATGACGGGGTTGGATAGCGCGAAGCCGCCAAAAGGGTCGATTCTGGTTCATCTTCTTGCCCTCTCAGTGATGGGTTTCGTCGTTACAGCTCACGGGAAATTGCCTGAGGTTTCGGCAGTGCAGAATTATCCCCCAAATGCGCCCCCTGCATTCTACATTCTTGGGGATTCCTCTGTCGACTGCGGAGACAACACGCTGTTTTACCCACTCGTTCACAGCTTTCTCTCCTTGTATTCCTGCAACGGTTCTTCTGATGCGAGCCTCATTCCTCATCTTCTCGGTAAATCTTACTACTCTCGCTCCGTCTCCTTTCTTTCTTTCTTTCTTGATTTCGTATGTGATGCTCTGTTTCTTGGACTTCAATTTCTTCTCAATTTTCAAGTAATCTGTGTTGAGCATTTTTCTGATTTGATTTGATTCAGCTTTCTTGAGAATTGGACTGCATATTTCTTGTTGGAATTGAAAACCCATCATTGTCTTGCCAAAACCCGTACAAGTACTAGTTTTGTTTCTCTGAGTTACCCAACTCCGGCAGCTTCAATTTGAATCTGCCCATGCCCACTCTACTGCTAACCCGATCCTAGTAATGAACAAGGTCTCGACTCTCAAGTGTCAAAACCTCTCAGGCCAATAGTAATACAGCACATCCGAAATTGCAGCATATTGCTTCATATGATCCTCCTAAGAGTCTTTTTTGATGAAATGTTTTGTGAAACACGACAGCTGGGAAGATGGGGATGCCGAGTGTCCTACCATTCTACAGCCAACAAAACGGATCCATTGATGGAATACTAAGAGGCCTCAACTTTGGTTCGGCACAAGCAACTATCATGAACCCTAGCGGCCAGAGCTACCAGTCCATAAACCAACAACTCCGCCAAGTTTTCGATTCAATGCAGCTCTTACAACTGCAGCTCAGCCAGGATGTAGTTCTCCATTTCATCAGATCATCCATCTTCTACCTCTCCTTTGGCAAAGACGACTACATCAACCTCTACCTACGCCACGCCTCCTCCTCCTCCGGCGCTGAGAAACCCAAGAACAGTGACCAGGAATTTTCCCACATTTTAGCAAATCAGATGATACATGTCATAAGGAACCTGTACGACATGAATGTGAGGAGGATCATATGCATGGGGATATTGCCTTTGGGATGCACGCCGCGTATGTTGTTCGACCACCACAATTCCAGTTCCACCAATTCCAATTCTGAACCTGGTGACAAAGAAGACGATGATGTCCGGAGTGGATGCGTGGAGGAGATCAACGAGCAGGTCTCGGAGTACAACAAAGTGCTGCACCAGCAGATAGGCAAGCTCCACGCAGAGTTGCCGGATGCACATATAGTGTTCTGTGATGTGTACAAGGGAATTAGAAAGATCATAAACAACCCGAAACGCTACGGTACGATTACAATTGCCAACTCTTTCTAATTCCATACATTTCAAACGATTGAATGAATGAATGAATGCAGGATTTGAGGATGTGAAGAGTGCTTGCTGTGGGTTGGGCATGTACGGAGCAGCGATCGGATGCCTTTCGAAAGAAATGGCGTGCCAACAAGATTCAAGCCATGTGTGGTGGGATTTGTACAACCCAACCAAGGGAGTCAACTCCTTGCTTGCTGACTCCGCCTGGAACGGCTTTCCCCTCTCTCGCATTTGCCGCCCTACCACCATCCAGGAATTACTTTCCACCTCCACTACTACCGCCGCCGCCGCTGCTCCGGTCTCGCATCCTCCCACTTGAATTCCTAAATTTCAAATTGAAAATTAATAGGGCTTGATGTAATTGTAGTGATTCCACACTCCTCTGTTCAAATGTGTTGCAAATTGCAATATAAAATTGTAAAAAATCGAAAGTTTTAAAACCCCCAACGTTCACATGTGTCGGGGAGGGATTTAAGAATACAGGACTTTAACAAAACTCTCAGCATTGTTCATTTTTAACGAATAATCACATTTATACCTTTAAAAAGAGTTTTTCATTAAAAGGAAAATTCGTTAGGAGATTAAATTTATAAACTAAATAATATGTCACCCATAAGAATAAACTTATTTATCAAATTTTTAAGTAATCATCCATTCATCAACTTTTATGTCTTTTAGTTTTCAAAATTTTACCTCCAAATTTAATTTATTTAGCATTACTCGGATTTAATATTCAATAGGCAACCAAAAGCATCTCTCTCACACTCTTTGACTCGCTAGCTCGCGTTTTACCCACAAAAACAATGGCCTCAGCAACTCAAGCGACCTTGAGCCTCTTCGCCGCTCCGCTGCCGGCCAAACCCCGCTCTCTCACCATCCGATGCTTAAAGTCCACCACTAGGACCACCAACCCACCCATCGTCGGCCGGAAGCTCCGAGCCGCCGTGATCGGAGCGGGCCCAGCTGGGTCCTCTGCTGCTGAGGCCTTGGCCGCCGGCGGAGTGGAGTGTTTCATGTTCGAGCGGAGCGGTCCGTCCACCGCGAAACCATGCGGCGGAGCGATCCCTCTCTGCATGCTTGACGAGTTCGACATCCCATCCCACCTCATCGACCGCCAAGTCACTCGCATGAGGATCTTCTCCCCTTCGAATCTCGCCGTCGATTTCGGCAAAACCCTCCTCCCCCACGAGTTCATCGCCATGCTCCGCCGCGAAGTGCTCGACTCCTACCTCCGCACCCGCGCCCAGTCGCGCGGAGCCAACCTTATCTCAGGCCTCGTCACGGATCTCGAGGTCCCCACCTCGGTCGACGCGCCGTACGTGATCAGCTACACGGCGGACAACAAGCGGGAGTCGCTGGCGGTGGACGTCGTGATCGGGGCGGACGGCGCCAACAGCCGAGTCTCCAAGTCCATCAAAGCCGGGGACTACGCGTGCGCCATTGCGTTCCAGGAGAGGATTAAACTCCCGGACGATAAAATGGACTACTACCAAGATCTCGCCGAGATGTACGTGGGAAACGACGTGTCGCCCGATTTCTACGCGTGGGTTTTTCCGAAGTGCGACCACGTGGCCGTGGGGACTGGCACGGTGTGCTCCAAACAGGATATTAAGGTGTTCCAAAGGGCAATTAGGGCTAGGGCCCATTCTAAAATCAGCGGAGGGAAAGTGATCAAAGTAGAGGCCCATCCAATACCCGAGCACCCCCGACCAACACGCGTTAGAGGACGTGTGGCGTTGGTTGGGGACGCGGCCGGGTATGTGACGAAATGTTCGGGGGAGGGGATATACTTTGCGGCGAAATCAGGCAGATTGTGCGGCGAAGCGATCGTGAAGGCGTCGGAAGGAGGAGAGAGGATGATCAACGAAGGGGATTTGAAGAGGGAGTATTTGAAAGAGTGGGATGACAAGTACATTACAACGTTTAGGTTTTTGGATTTGTTGCAAAAGGTGTTTTACGGGAGCGACGCGGCGAGGGAGGCGTTGGTGGAGCTGTGTGGCGACGAGTACGTGCAGCGGATGACGTTCGAGAGTTACTTGTACAAGAAGTTAGCGGATGGGAATAGGTGGGAGGATGCTAAGATGGTTTTGAATACTGTTGGGAGTTTGGTGAGGTGTAACATTTTGGGCAAGAAAATGCAGGGTTTGAAGTTGTAGTAGGGTTTAGGGATAGGGTAATTTAGATTTGGTTGCCTTAATTGGCCTCGCATGTTTGATTTCATTTGGGTCAATTGTGGTGTGGTGGGATTTATCAACTGCTTTCTTCTTGTTTGATTTCTTCATAGGTGAATTTAAGTGTGTGTGGTTGTTTAATTCCAGTACTTGAAGGTTTTGTAGCCGGTGACGGTTTAAGGAGGTAATGCCGTCTATACACTTTCCTGCAAGTTCAATATCCTTCTCCCTACGCTATTGTCTGTCAAAAAGAAGGTAATGAAATTTGTACGCTGAGATGTGCACTAGCAAATGAATTATTTCCGATTAAAACGGAATTGTTATTACACGCATGACTGATTGGTTTAGTGATATAATCTTCACTTTGTTGAAAAAAAGTAGTTGAGAGTGTTTTAAAAAAGGCAACTTGGAGTCACCTTCTACCAGAACTTAAGACAATCCCATTCTGCGAGCTCCAATGAGGCAACCCTGGGTGCTGAAACTTCAGTACAATGGACCAATTGGAATAATAAAACTAGCAGCGTCCTTCATGTTCATCAAAATTAACTTTGTAAGAGCTAGGAGAACAACTCAGGTGAGTTGGATGGTCAACCTAACTCTAACCCAACCTTTACAATTCGAATTTGGGTTGAGTTTGGCCTTACTAGAGTTGGGTTCAAATTCGTCCAACTTTATTGAGTTCAATTTTATAATACCTTATTTGCATGATTTTTCAAATTTTGAATCAAATAATGTCAATCTTAGTTCAAATTTCATTTATACATCACTTTTCCAACAAAAGGTAAAGCAAACAACCTCGAGACTATTTTTGATGTTTCAACCATGCAAAGTTACTGACCAATAAAAAAAATAAATAAATAAATAAAAAACCATGCAAAGTCAAGAGTTACAAGATGTATACCAAAACTTTTGTAGACATGTAAAATTTGTTGCATACAAATGATGCATCACAAATGGACAAGTCATCAAAGGCATGTGACACAAATCAAGCAAAGAAAGTACAAAACCTTCCCAAAAGTCAGCAAAAGGCAGAAAATCCCTCTTAAAATCGGCAAGGGATTGCTCACAAAATATGCAAGAAAGCCTTATAATTCCGTCAAGCAAGGGAAAATGGTTGAAATTAAGACACAAAACATGCCTAAATTCTCCCATGGACAAATCAAGACACAAATCAAAGCCAAATCCATCCAAAGGCAAGCTTTGGGAAGTCTATAAATACAAGGTCCCCAAACACAAATAGAGGTCGACAATTTCTACGTTGAAGGGTTGAAATTCTCACACAAGGAGAGCCTCTGCCAAATCTTTGAAGACTAATACGCTGCCAAAGCTCTCTTCAAAGAACGTACAACCAAAGCCGAAGCTTTCTTTCAACCATAGCCGAAGCATTCCCCTGAAGAATTAACAAGCACTTGTGCCGATTCCTTCAAGACTTTGTTGCAAGCTTAAAACTTGTAACGACGTTCGATTCAAGATCAAGTCACTAAGACCCTTGAATCAACAAAATCCCACATCAACATCACATTTGCCGCAGGTCATACATAAACCTAGAGGTGAAGATTATCAATGAATTGTTTCAAGCTTAAAACTTGAAGCAATCGTTCAATCATTCATCTGAGATCAAGTCATTGCAACCCTTGGATCAACAACCTACGCATCTAGATCCAATTTGAAGACTAAATCAGAGGAAAATTGTAAACAGAGATTGTAACCCTACAAATTCATCAATACAAATCTACTTTGTACACGTGTTCTCGTTTCATTTGTTACAGAATTTTTGTGTTTACACATTTGGCACGCCCGTTGGGACATCTCTGTCTCTCATCTCTATCTTCAAATCCACAAAAAGCACAAATGGCATCAAGAAAAGATCAAGTTGTTCCTGCAACCAACGCGAAGAACTAGAACATCATCGTTGCAAGTGGTGGCACTTTAGGCATTACAACCCGAAGCAAGGCAAGAGCTCTCTCTGTCATGCCTTCCACCCCTACACCAAACCTACCGAATGAGCAAGAGCACTCGAGGCACGAGCCTGTGATCACCTTGGCCTCACTAAGGGCGCTAAGGGAAGAAAGCTCGATGAGGTGTTTTGAGTCCTTGATTTTCGATGTCGACTCAAGCAGCAACTTGTATCCCATAGCCAATTGGTACGACTTCCATCGAGGAACAGCTGGCTCAAATGAATAAAGCAATTGCAAGGCTAACAAGGCATGTGGAGGAAAAGAACTTGCAAATTGCAGCACTCGTCAACCGACTTAAGGCGTATCATGACGAAAAAGTTGATCGTGACCCAAAGGTTGATCTATAAAAGAAGGAAACTGATGAAGATGAGGAGCCTCCGATGGAAAAAGTTGAGGAGAGGCTAGACCAAGCAACGACGCTCATGGGATCTCTCTCTATCCAGCAGTTGCAGGAGATGATCACTAGCATGATCAAGACGTAGTACGAAGGAAGCTCACATGACTCCGTATTGTACTCAAAACCCTACTCCAAAAAGATTGACGCCTTGAGGATGCTAAGGGGTTATCAACCACCCAAATTTATGCAATTCAATGGAAAGGGAAATCTTAAACAACATATTGCCCATTTCATTGAAACCTGGAACAATGTTGGGACGGAGGGAGACTACCTCGTCAAGCAGTTCGTGCGCTCGCTGAAGGGTAACGCTTTTGATTGGTACACCAACCTCTGGCCTGAGTCCATCTAGGACCATCTTGAAAAGAATTCCTCAACTTCTTTTAATGCACCCGCCGCATCGTAAGCGTGCTGGAGCTGACAAGTACGAAGTAGTGGAAAGATGAACCTATCGTCGACTACATCAATAGATGGCGTTCATTAAGTCTGGATTGCAAAGATCGGCTTTCTGAAACCTTCACCATTGAGATGTATGTTCAAGGCATGCATTGGGGACTACATTACATCCCCCAAGGCATAAAACCGAGAACATTTGAGAGCTGACAACTTGATCCCATGACATGGAGCTAAGTATCGCCAATCATGGGAAGAAGAAGCCGATCACTGACTTTAAAAAGGATAAGGTGTTCGCCCCAAAGCTAGACAAGACTGGGAAGAAGCCCATCAAAGAAGCTTTTACCATCCATACTACCCCAATTAAGACCTCATCCGTGCCCGTAAAGATCTCCTCCAAAAATAAAACGAAGAAGATGAAGAGAGGTGAGCTTTCCTACACCCAAGATAGACAAAAAAAAATAAAAAATAAAATAAAAAATAAAAAATAAAATTAAAAAAAAAAACACCTTAAGGGAACTGGAGCAAAAGACGTACCTTTTTCTGAACTTTGATGTGGCTGCAATGCTAGACGAATTACTGGAAAAGAAGGTGAACGAGTTACGTAAATGTTGAAGGAAAAATTGTGAAGAACAAGTTCATTTGAGCAACATCTACAACATGCAATTAACAATTAAAGACGGAATCATGCTTGTATGCACTCAAAACAAAACTTTACCCATGAAATTCAAAGCCTAGTAGTTATGATGAACCAATACTCAACTCAAGATCTAAGAGAAATAGTTTAGATTTCTTTATACCTTTGAAACACCTCTTTGCTTAGCAAAGGTTAATCACCCATGTGAGAGCCTTCTTTCCTTTGTCACCTTGCTCCTTGGCTCCATGGATGTGGATGGAGGAACTTGGCTTCTTGGCTCCATGTCTTCTTGGATATGGATGGAAGAATTGGGTTCTCCAAAAGTCCCCAAAGTTAGAGACCTCCAAGTTCCGACACCAATGATGGTTAAGGAAGAAGATGAGTGACCATGGAAGAGTTAGATGCTAGTAAACTCTCCCATGGTGGCTGGCTGTTCTAGAGAGAAAAAGAGAAAGAGTTATTCTCACTTTTCATCCTTAGAAAACCCTTATAAGGATGAAGCAAAGATACCCTTTCTATGCTTTCAACTTTTGTGTGCTTCTTGAACCAAAAGGCCCTTCATCTCTCTATGGCCGGTTTTCCCAAGCCTTTGGGCTATTTTCGGCTTCTTGAATTTTGGTTGTTAAGTTGTCATACAACTTAAGCTAATGGGCTTGACGATTCAAAGCCCATTAGGCTTTAAGGCCCAACACTAACTTAAGGTTTAAAACGAACTTATTCGTTTGATTAATTAACATATTAATTAATCCTTACCATAAACAATTAAACCATTTAATTGTCCTTACTCATCTTCGTCAAATTCTTCAAACATTACCTTACATAGTGTGCGATCCATTAGGTTCCTTTTAGTGAGGTAGTGGGCAATTAGAATTCTTCAAATCGATTGTGAATTGAAATTTCCTTTCAATTCTCCCTTTAGTGATTATACACCTTTAGGGCTTCCACAAACCATGAGTGACACCTAGCAATATGTCATGGCTATCCAAGCTAATCAAAAGAGGTTGGAGAACCTATTCAGTTTAGGATTACAATGTAATACGGTCTTTCTTTAATACAATACTCTTGACCGCATTGTTTGGTTTGATAGTTTATTCATGTCTACTATCCAATGTGATTCTCTTACTTAGATGATTACCTTGAATGTGATTTGGAACAACTTCCTAACTCTTATTCATACTCTGGCCAGAGATTCTTAATCATATCATAGAGTATTCTCCCTCAAATAGTTTGAAGGTTAGAGATCCCTTGTTATGCATTCACCTGCCTCCATGACTAAGTGGCTTAACCTCAACTATGCCGTGGACACCTTCTTACAGAGTGAGTTTGACATAGTCAAAGATCAAGGACCTAACCACAAGACAACTATGATGCCTTAGGTCAAAGGACTACTTTGCATTATCCCAACCATGAGTTCTCATGTGACATGAGTATGAGAACTCCTTGTTGATTGCGTTCAGTGGATTCATTCTCTATTGAGCACCTACATGCTTGTCTTGGTGTTAGTGAGTCGAGATCAGTCACTCTTCCTAAGAGAAAACATAGCATGTATTGATCTTGATGGACTGTCAATGCCCAAATGGTAATCCTGTGATCAAGAATGTTTAGGATATGTATTCGAAAGAGAATGGTCTCATGAATCTAACTTCTTTAGATCACATTCTCTCAATTACATATTCCTTTGACTTATCGTTTAAGCATATAGCCTTTATATGAGATGACTTTAAATAATAATCTTTGCCCTTTATATTAAACTAGATTAGTTTTAGGGCACATTTCCCACAATCTCCCACTTGCACTAAAGCCGATCAGCTTGGTCATCATTGATGATTCCTCTTCTGAATTCATTTCAAAAATGGCTGAGTAGTAGGCCTAGACAATGGATATCTATATGTCACCATTATACATGATTCTCAATCATGTGGTTCAGTCTCTCATTTGAGTTTG